TAGATACTAGAATAGTTTTGTACCTCTCCTCACTGAAAGAAGTGTACATAAGAGAGAAGTGCATAAACAAAGAGTAACTGCCTAGATATGAATAATAATAATAAAAAATATAATATATTATACATAATATAATATATACAATCAAATTAATGTAATATATTTGATATGATACAATACAGTACAAAGTAATATAATATAATATGTTATAATACAATATAACATCACATCACATCACATCACATCACATCACATCACGTCACATCACGTCACGTCACATCACGTCACGTCACATCACGTCACGTCACATCACGTCACGTCACATCACGTCACGTCACATCACGTCACGTCACATCACGTCACGTCACATCACGTCACGTCACATCACGTCACGTCACATCACGTCACGTCACATCACATAAACTTTTCTTATAAAATCAGTTAGGCCACTGCCACTGGAATCCCCTACCATGCGTTTTCAAATGAAACTAGATTCTCCTGAAGAATAAATTAATTCCTTGAATGAACTGCTTTATAGAATTACTATGTTTACTTGACCAAGATGTATTTTAAAATGTTTGGGAGACAGATGACTATAGGCTTTTGAAAATTATGCTAAGCATCAAAACCATTTTAAAATTTAATTATGTGGTTGCATATGCTTTATTTACAGACTCTTATATACCTCAGTAGTATTTCATGTTTTGCAATAATCTTTACTTCATCTCAAGAGAATTCATTGATTGCTTAATATTCTGATACAGCATATGAGTACTGACAGAATATAGTAAGATTACTTTAAATGTATTTTTCTGTTTGGCAGATTTCCTTAAGCTGTAGGTATTAATGATGCATATATTATCGTTGCTTGAAAACTGGGGATAAATGAAGTGAAAATAATCCACCATACTTCACATTAAGTAAAAAAATATGGAGGAGCTAGAGGACCTCCACGACAGGTTATCATCTCAGTCATTTCTCAATTGCCTCTTAGCAGTGCTTAGGACCTACACAGGATTTTCCTTTTAGTTACTAACTCTGATGCTAGCTTTACCCAAATGCCATAAAATTCTGCTTTTATTTCCACAAGCCGTCCAGGATCACATCCTATTTAGTAAATCTTGGTGAAGTAGAGGAAATATTTTTCACATGTAGATAAACTTGATTCTCAGCTTAAGATTCAGTAATTAAAGCTTATTCACTACCTGGAATACCTTTCTTAAAACTTGCTATGTCAAGATACTGTTGTAGCATGGTAAGCTATCTGTCTTTTGCAATGCTATGGCATACAGCTTAAGGTAGAATTTACACAGCTTTGGGTCTTGAAATATGTAGGCACTATATCAAACGGCAAGTGTCTTAGTTTACTGTCTCTGTATTTTGTGTCATGGTCTTTGCATGTGAACCACTTCCACCCATGGACAAAACTAGAATTTGAGGGCTAGTATTTAAATGGCTGTCAGTATTTTTAGTTATATATGAGGTACAATATTAATAGTGATTTATTCCACCAGCTTGCTACCTTGTAAATTGAACTGATTTCAGCTGGACAAACCCTGAGCTATGCTTACCCAGTAATTATAACCATCAAGCATCATGTCATGTGATCTGCCACATTTCTTCTACTTAGATTAAAAGGCAAATAACAGCAAGTATATGTTTCAGTAAAAGGGGTACTGAGTACAAGATAAGGACTAAGTGTAGTAGTGATGTTACTTAGCTCCATTTAGATGAAATGAGGAAAAAAAGACTAAAGGAGTAAAGTTAAAATTATAGTAGAGTGTTACAAGTGCAGTGTAAGGAAAGTATTTAATTACTTAGTAAAACACAAATATAGGTGAAAGAGAAACTACTGGAAGAAGAAAAACTACATTAACACAGATAAAATAGGTATAATGTAAGCAGGGCACTTAGCAATATTAGATAATAAAAACTATATTTGCATAATAATTGCATAGCTTTTTTTGGGCCACACCCAGGACATTTTCCACATTTGTCACTGTATCGCCTTTCTTCTCCTTTTGTTGCTAAAATGAAGCACCAAGAAATAAGAACAAAACTATAGGCACAAACTTTTGGAAAAAGACTACTACTAACTCAGCATTATATTGGAAAATTGTATTAAAATGAGTACATAGGAAGTAATATAAATATATTCTTCAAAAGACATACAGTTTTTAGCAGATTTAAAGCTAACTGTACTACCACCTTGGTCTACAACAGTGAAAAACTGTTTTACAGTTCACCACATGTGGACATGATAACTAGAGAGACTTCATACTTAACACTTTTTCTTAGAAAGCTCAGCTGGAAATAAACTGGGACTGTTAAGAACATTTGAAAGTGACAGCAACTTCTTGGCTTGCACTGAGTTGTAACAAAGCCAGTTGTTTCTGTGCTACTGCACAGCAGTGCTCAGTTTTATTTTTATTACTCACGTGACAGGAAAGCAAAATATTGTTTATAAACAATGAAACAAAACTGACTGCGAATATAATCATTAAACTACAGAACAGGGAAAAAACATGTAAATTAATTTTTTCCTACAATTTATTTCAGAACTTTATTATTGATTGTTTTGAGTACTTTGCTACTGATTCTGCTTTCTTATAGTTTATTTTCATCTAACGTTATTACATTTTTCAGGATTTAAACTCTACCAGTCTTATTTCACTGGATTTAAATTTCCAGATTCAACTCTTAGTTATAAATCACTTTTTACGTTCAGTGCTCATTCCCCTTTCCCTTGAGCACTATGTACCCTGAGAGCGTTTTTATTCTTTTGCTTGTCCATCTTTCATTTCCACATTTGTATGCACTCAGAGTATCAACATGAAGTCTCAATGAGCAAAGCATGTAACTTCTCATTGACTCTTCTCTTTCCTTTCTGTTTCCCAGAGGACAGGCATTCTGCTTCCAATGTTATTTAACATTCACTATGCACATTACTGCTCTGACTTACTGCGCCACTGCTGTATTTCCTGTGTTTCATACTGATTTGTTTGATAATACGCAATTAACAGATAAGGTCACAAAAATGTGCTTGTTAAATAATATTAGATATTGCAGATTAGTCAGGATCCCCTCATCACATTTCAGAATTAATCTAGATGTGTATTCTCTGTATCTTTCAGTGCACTAAAAAAAACCTTAGAATCATCTTCACAAATATGTTTTAGATATTTAGTAACTGTGTGCTCTAACTCAGGAAAAATCAGGAGGAATAGAAAGAATGAGGCCAAATCTCACCCAGCAGCCTTTGCAGTCCAGCCTTTGGATGGACTTCTATGTACTCATTTGTTTTGAGCTCAGGTTATTCCCAGTCTATTCCTAGTCCTAGACTATGCCCTACTATGTGTGCCCTATTATGCCCCCAATTCATCCAAGAAGGTTCTCAAAGAAGCATTTCTAGGTAAAAATAGGAACTAACTCTGGGATAATAAAAAGCTAGAAGTCAATATGGCTAAGATCAGTATCTATTTATTTTTAATACAGTTTTATTTTGAAAACTTGTTTTTCTCCTGAATGAATAAAATCTTTCTAATCTCTAGACTTTCCATATCCATTAAAGATCTATGAGACCTGTCTATCTAAGCTTTGATGTTAAAGCTTCCACAGGGAGTTCTAGATCTTTCACTACTCAATCTGTGATTTATACTGACTTTTCTAGGTGCTGCAGTTACAATTTGAGATCTGAGTGTCAGCCTGAGCTCTTTGCATGTCACGTATCAGTTCAGAAATAGATCACTAAGGCAAATGAGCCCTCAGTTTTATCATTCGACCACAGTGCCCATGCTTTTAGTAAATATATAAATCTACAAATCAGATTGAGATCTTTAGCGTCAGCTAAGATTCTCCACTGGCACATTCTTGTCCTAACAGAGTTTTCTTCGAAGAACAGAGTCTATACCTTGACTCAGTAGCCTAAATTTGGACAATCAAATTTTAAAATCTTTCATTCATTGTTTCCTAATTCTAACAGAGTCTTGCTTACATTTTCAAGTTAAAGAAAATTTAAAAAAATGTGAGGAGACTTACAAAATGTTTTCTCAATGAAGGTGTTTACTAAAACTTATTTAGGAGGCAATTTATTTTATGCCTTTTTACCTTCACAAAATAGTTTCAAAGAACTAGTCTATAATATTATATTTTGTTTTTGACTAATTTTAAAAAGGTCACTCCTACAGTACTTACTCAGAGTCACTGAAACTGAAAACTGAGTAAGGACTGCAGGATTGGCTCCCTATTAAAAAAGTCTAAGACACATGGTGCTGAGATTAACAAAACAAAGTAAGTAAAGCAGCTATGACTTGGCACAACGTTTGACAAGCTGCAGAAAAGCAAATGTTTAAATAACTGAAGTGGTACTGATTTTCTATTCACAACCTTTTCTCTTCTAAACAGTATCATATTCTTTTCCAGCACATTTAGATTGCAAGTCAAGCTGTGTTTTATTTTTTATTATAATAAACCCAGTCAGTTTACTGTAACAAAGACATACTAGTGATGATCAGTGTGAAAGCCAGTACGAAATCGGGCTAGAAAAAAAAAGTAAAATGGTAAAATAAAGGACCAGCCGTCTGGAAAGTTCCTGAATCATGTAAAAAGAAAATAAAAGGCAGTGTTCTTATGAGACTAATGCAGAATACAAAAATATTTTTAGACAAAACTCTCTATATCAGTGCCTATGACATTTGTAAACAGCAGCAGCAAATCTTTCCAAATAATACTAAATTTATTAAATATTTTCCAAGTCTTCCTAAAACAAAATATCAGCATTCTTAAAAAAATCTTTCTGGTAGCATGGTTAATGTCTATTCCCTTCAAAATCCTATAAGAAAAAAAGGTATTTTTGCTAACTTATTTATTTCACATGTAAAACAACTTCCTTGTCTAAAAATGAGTATATTCAATCTACGTGATATTAAAGGGGTTTTGCATATTTCATTAGATTTGTAATAAATGATGGTTTACCAAAAAAATTGTAACCATAAATATCTTACCAGGCTTTTAACTAATGATCTTTCATTTTCAATTTCTGCCTTCATCTGTCCTTGAATTGCAATTAACTAAAAATATAAACATTTAAGAATTAATGCTGGTTTTCATATTACAGACATTCTCTAAAAATCCTTTCTAGATATAGCCCCCCTGCTCAAGAGACTACATGTGGACCTACACGTCAGGAGAGTCACACATATGAAATATACAGTTCTTAAGACTTGAGCAAAATAGCTTGCCACATCAGAGGATGTAGGGACATGAGGGAAAAATTACAGTGGAGACTACATTGACTTAAAAACCCAGAAACGTAGATATTTGTGGAAACCTGTTATGTGGCAGTTTGGAACTGCAAGGGCAAGTCCGCTATTCTATTATAAACTTGTAGAAAGATCAGCAGACTGCTATATCATTTGCAGCAAGTTCTAACATATCACTGTGAGACAAACGGTCAGGCAAATTTCACATCTATTGTCACCAAGGACAAAGGATTGTACCCAAAGAACAATTTAAGCAGAACTCTTTGGAAGTTCCAGAATCAAACTCACTTAAGCAGTTATATTTCATGGAGAAGCTTCCACAGGTTATGCTGTTCTTGAGCAATCTAGGACTTCTGTCAGAGCTATTGTAATTTGGGATTTGCAACTGAAACCTCTGTATCTCTCAATGTCACAAGGATCTAAGTTCACTTACTGAATTTGCACTTAGAACTTAACCAAAAACAGATAACGTTGAGTTCAACACCGATATTCATTTCCTCTCACAAAAATGGAGAAATGCTCTCTTTCAGCATAATAACCCTGGGGTTAGACTGCCCAGCCACAGATCAGAACAGTCTAGATTCTCTGCCTCTGGGAGCTTGATTACAATTTCCCAAGTCCTAGAACAGTAGCTTAAGTACCCCTCTGATGAGAATAAGCCACCAGTTCTGTTTAAGCCGTGCCACTGGACACAAAGAATATGAAATTCATGAGACTAGATACAGAATACTTATGCAGGAGCTTCATAGCAAAGCTGTGACTCGGTAAGAAAGGGAGAACCTTGTGTTCTGGCTCAATAGATCATTTCTGCATTTTACATTAGACTATGAATTACTAAAAAACAACAAATGAAACAACAAAAATACCCCACACTATGTATACACATAAAGCCCAGAAATACTCAGCAATAATCCAAGGAAAGAAAGAACAATCTATCAGGAACTCCCTACCTATACGCTGAATATTCTAATAATTAGTCTAGAGATTATGGTTCTTTTCTGCTTTCTCTCTCTCCATCCAGCTTTAAAGAAAATGTTTTTGCATAAAACACAATGTAAACTAGCAGTTAAATCATTCCATTGGTATATGGAGCTACAGATTCAAACGTCCCCAAGTTCATCAGTGACCAGAAGTCTGAGCTAGTGCTCTAGTCCTTACGAAAAACTCCGTGCTTGCCATCTCTTATGATGCTTTAAGAGAAATCAGAGACGCAGTTGACTACAGCTAGTGCACAACTTGGCTGCTTGGGCATAGGAAGAAGTTTCAGACTCCAAATTCCACCTACAAGAAACTGAGCAGTGTTTCATAGGGCAGATGAGAGATAGTGTGTCCAACACATGTTTCATCACTATTTACTACTGATCGGTTCAACACTGTGTCTAGTTTGAATCCTGTTTTTAGGTGTTAAGCTTTCCTTATACAGTGTATATAGGATACTGCTGTCTGTATCAGCTTCATGAACTCCATATCTGGAGCCAAATACCCAACTATTGGGCACTACAGCAGTGTGTGTCTTCATGCTCATTTCTTCTTTTTGAAAATCAAAGCATTTTATTTAAATAAATTTATCCCTATTCCGGCTATTGAGAGAACATTCTTTTCAGTAGGATATGCAGAGGAAGGAGAAAAGTGTTTGCCAGAAACTAAAATCAGTGTAGTTATTGCTTTAGAATTACAGCTTTTCTTCTTGGAAAGGAAATACAAATAGATACAAATTAATATCAGTATTAAAATGAGCAGGGAAGGACTGCTCCTGTGATATCTCAGAGCACTTCATTCTTACAGTTTAGCTAAATTGACAGAATGTGAAGTCACTGGGAAGGGCTACCTATACAGACAGTTGTCTTGCAGGAAGCTTGGGAAGGAAGCAGGTGATCCAAATGTACATGAATGTAGTGCTTCCAAATCATATGCAAGGCATATGGAAAAAAGTTCCTTGGAGGCTGCTCTAATTCACAGATCAAGGCAGTATCTATGGGAGGATACTACACATTAGACATTGTCCTGGTTTGTACAGACATGCAGTGAAGGAAGGGAAAATTTAGGATAAGTTTCAGGAAAAATTTCATGGGAGTGAAAGGATGAAAAAAATGTATTATGAAAACATCTTAGTTGGACTTTGCAGTTGAACTAAACAGAAATCTTTAGTATTGAGGGTTGGCACCTCTTTCCAGCATAACGAGGCTTCAAAACTAAGTGGGATTCCTGAGCACTGTCAGAAATACAAATGAGAAAAATCTACCTGAAGAAGCTTTCCTCCTTTGATAGACTAGCGCATTAGACAAACCAATTAACCTTCCATTTCTGATTTTGGATTTCATCTATAGGATCTTGATGGTTTTTAAACCTTAATGAACTTACCTTTCCAATGCTCCTCCAAAGATAAATAGATATCACTATTTTCAGAATGGGAAACTGGGTCATAGAAGATAGATTCACCTAAGTTCACAAGGGAAGTCAATGAAAGCGATGGTTTTACAATTCCAGTGCCTCAGTCACCAAAACAATCTTTTTTATATGAATTTGTGGGAGAATTTAGCAATTTCAGAGAAAATTATGTAGATCTGTAGATCAGTAGAACTGAGTAATCTACAAAACATTTTGAAAATGTTTTATAGAAGGAATGTTCTTTCTAGAAAGATGTTCTATGGCTATTTTTTAATTTTCAGAATGAGAACTATACACTGTAGAAGAAAGCCATTTGAGAACTGTCACAAAATAAGAAGCTTACTGGAAGGATAACTAAATGTTGTAACTGAAAAACACTGAGATCTGTCAACCCCTTATTGAGGCCACTATTTAAAAAAACATTGGCATTGGAAAGTTATCTAAAAAGTTGACTTCTATACCTTTGTCAGCTATAGTTTTGCTCAGGTTAGCACAGGAATAATAATTCACATATACTAATAACTCTGTTTAGGAATAGCAGGATATATAAGAAGTCATAGGTTACCAAAAATAAGTGTATTCTTCCTTTCAGTTACTAGCTACTTGCACTTACAAATCTTATTTCCTTGCCTTTAAAAAGATACTGAATGTGTTTCATTTTTATTAAAGTAGTCACCTCATTTTGCTGTGGTTCAGAATTTTCACTGCATTTTAAGAATATTAAGCAACATGACAGGATGAGGAAGTCTAAAACCTCGTGTTCACTAAAAGAATACCAGTTCATTATTACTCTTCAGTGAGTTGTGAAATCATAAAACAAAATGTGACACTATTCAAGTTAAAGTCTATTTTTCAGCATTATTTGGACTAGCAGTCCAAATAAGTCTATTTTTCAGCATTATAGTCTATTTTTCAGCATTATTTGGACTATATTGCTAGCAGTCCAAGCTTCTTACTATTCCACTATGACAGTAGTTAATAAATGTAAAAATTACAGTACCTTTTGAATAGTTCGCTCATCAGTTTCCAGTTTTAATTGCATTCTTTGAACTTGCTTATCTGAAAGCAAGAGGAGAAAAAGGAAGACCAAGAAATTACATGCCTACATCAACGTATTCAAAATGTTTGCTTCAGGTCAGTCTATAAAGCCACACAGTGCACACTGGATGAGAGTCCTGGCAGAACTGTGACCTTCACAACCGCCCTTGACATTCACAGCCTTCTTCCTGCTGTTCAGCCGGCTGGTCAGATAGAGATTAAGAAGTAAGTTCAAGAGCCAAGTATGACTGAGTGCCCACAGCTTTTCATTAATACTAATACTGGACATCCTTGCTGTTAGTCACAGCCAATACAAAGTGCTTTAGCAGGTGGTTCGTTATAGCTCATACAAAACTATCAAAAGACGAAAAGCACCATTAAATCAGATGAAAAACAGGAATAAGGAATATTGCCTTCGTCAAATTCATCCTGCCACCATTAAAGGTGACACTGGGTCTAACCTACTTGGACATAACAAAAGTAAAAAGTCAAATTTGATTCTATTGCCATAGTTTCTAGTCCTCCATTAAATATGTCACACTGGCAGTGTGTGAGAGGTAACTTGAAAGTACCTATCGGAAAAAACAAATACCTTTTCAGAACTGTGGTAAAGCACAGGTACCAAAAATAGTGACTGCTTATTTGAGAAAAATGGATTGTTAGAAAACCTCCACAAAAACACAAGTTTTATGAAGAAATACACATTCAGATATTTTGCAGAAGCATAAAAACTGCTCTATAGAAGAGTAGGTTTTAATACAACTGCCTTAAGATGAGATAAAATAGTAGGCCATGATTTAAAAGTATGAACATCTACCTACAAAACTTTTCTATTTTAGCAACTTTACAGTATGTCTGTCACAATATATGAACTCTAGCCACATTGTTAGGCAATATTAGAAGTCTCAAAAGCCATAGCAAATATTCCTTTGTCATAAACTAAAAATATGTTAATATATGCATTAAAATTAGAATAAATATGTATGAATTTCTCTACAAATACATACAAAATTAGCATTCAATCCCAGAAAAAGATAGCAGTCCAGAAATAAGTTGCCAGCCTTCTGAGGCATGTTAACAATGAATTCCAAATTTAGTAACATTTCTTACATACTGTATTTAAACTCGTCGTCTTGATCTAATATTAGTTTAAAGTTTTACCTAATAAAGAATTTTCTTTTTCGGAGCGTTTCAGAGAATTTTCAAGATGAAAAATCTTATTGTGTAGTTCAAAAATCTCTTCTTTGAAAACCTCATTTTCCTTTTCAAGCATTTTTTTTTCATGGTCGTCATCTTCAAAGGCAACCTGAAAGATTGTGATGCCTTGAATTTATAAGTAAGGACTCCAGGATTTAAATATGCTACACTGGTATAATATTATACAACACAGTATCATATAATTTCTGAATTCTATTACAGAGACATAATATGAATAGAAGAACGTTGAGACTCTAAATAGGTTCTTGCTGGAAGAAAGGCTGCAGTACATTATATACAAAGACCATAACACATGGGGACATTTTATTGACAGGAATAATGCATATCATACTGTTTGTGTGCCCTCATCATTCAGGTCAATTTATTATGGAAGCTGTGTCCAGGAAGGCAGCTGGGGCCTATCCACCCACACTTCCCTCTGTGTTTATGAAGTGCTGTCCGTAACTAGGCAGGCAGGAGAGACTGTGGACAGGCAACACCAGGGGGTTGCAAAGTGCATGGCTAAGGAGGGGGGCTTGTTGCCTTTGTGCCATTGCTCAGTGACAGTGCTGCCAGTGTCATGAGGAGCACATCACATGTCAAAGTGGTGAAGTTTTCAGGCTGGGAGCCGCATGGAGTCCATCAGGCCTTCTGATATCAACACAGTTGGTTTTCTACTTGGTGTCGGAGCCACCCAGAGGCAATTCATATTCTGAACATTAACATGGCTTTGCATGCCTGTCACACATAGACCGTGCAGGGGTTTAATGCTATTGAAGACTACTGTTTAAATCTCTATGCAAACAGTGATTACCTTGTAAGAAGGTTCCAGGATAACATACAACAAAAGACTTTAAAGTTATAGTTTTAGTAAAGCAAACTCATTTACATTTTTATTATGCGTGTCCTTTGTTTAAATCTTGCCACGTCCATTATGGAAAAGACTTCTTATGCAACTGAAGCTTATTGGGACAGCTACTCTTTTTTTCTTGTTGGTTTCAAAGCTATTGAAAACATTTGAATATATTGTCTTATGGCTGTCTAGATTTTACTGCCACATATTTCTTTTAAAATTATAGAAAAGCTTTCAGCGCTGGCATGGATCTTTATAGTAATACCAGAATATTAACTAACCCCCCGAAACCATTTAAAATATTAACATAAAAGAGAAGAATTAGACAGCAATTACTTTGCTTACAAAACAAAATTTAGGATATTACTTGTTTTGCTTGGTAACAATATTAACTCCTTTTTAAAATTATCAGAAAATAAAAATGTTAAAGAACTTTGAAAATAAAATTCTGATGTTTTCAAATGACATACAAACATGAACTATAACATATTTGTGAATAAAATTTAGTTCCTAACTATTTTTTCCTTATAAAAGACAATTTGATCTCTGACTTACTAGAACAAATGATCATTGTATTACATAGAGTTCCATCCACAAAGTTTTCACTGATTTTATGAGAAATCATGTAAATAAAATGTCAAGTGCTTTGAAAAATAATACATCATATTAGTTTGTGGTTACCCTTCCTTTACTGAATAAACAGCAGCTGTTTACAGTAAAACCAAGTATTAGTAACAAAAATGATACTTTTAATAATACAATTTTTTTTACTAATTCTAAATAAATACTTCAAAAACTACTTTAAATATTCTTTATGCAATAAGAGATTTTAAATTAACCTTCTCAGAAAATTAATAGATTGCATATTTTCATTAAAAACTTTTACCAAATCCTGTAGACAGACTAGCGCGCTTCAGGGAGATGTGTAGTGTTAATAAAACGGTTCATGTAATATTTGAGTAATTAAGTCTCCGCTCTGGCAGTAGCCAACTCCAAATCATCACCAAACAAATTTAGAATTTCAAAAAACCTTTTAAGTAACTGTTACAGCTCTTAATAGAGCTTAGGTATTTGTTCTTTTGCCCTGGCTGTATTTGAGCATCAACAGCTGATGCTCAAAGAAGCTGCCATTATCATAAAATAAATGGAAATAACTTTAACCATATGAATCAATTTGAAATGGCATCTCAAACATAAACGTGGTCTTATCTTTTACTGTTTTAGGGAAACGATATGAAAAATACACCAGACACTGCTTTTTTCATAAATTTATACCTCGCACTTTACTAAGACAACCTTAGCTCTAGCTCCACCATCTGTTAAAAACAAGAACTGCAAATAATTAACTATTCAGTCTCCTGCTGCAATGAGGACACTCATTAGCAAAATGAACAAAGGGACAATTTTCTGTAGCTACAGTCATCTGTTACACTTTGAGTGGCAGGTTTTGTAGTAATGTTCTCTCTACCATCTGCCCACAGCAGTAGTGTTTGGCTTGCTTAAATCGGGGAACTTTAAACTCTAAGAATAAACAGCTAGAGGTTGGAAGATGATTATAACCTGGCTTTTACAGGGCGTTTCAAAATTTCTCGCCTTATCTGTCTCATAACCTTAATTCTAGAAGTTTTATTACTCAAGCAAAATATGTATATTTTAGCCTTAATAAATTCTACTGCACATTTGCTGAAGTTATGTATTGTAGACTCTTCAGATTACATTTCTAATAGAATACTAGATAAATATGGATACATAACTTTGAAATATAACAAATTTAAATTAGATTCATCCACCTATAATGACAGCAGTCTAGCCAAATTATCCTTTGAGTAAAGGCGAAAGTATATAGCCGTTATTATGCAACTGAGAAATATGCATTTCCCTTTGGTATCTGGGTAGTCAGTATACCCTCAAAATAATTAATTAGCTGTTTTAATAACAGCTGGGATTTTTGCTGTTTTACTGCACAGAAGTATGATGCATTTTACTGATGCTATATGAGGATACCAAAAATGAAAATATTTGGGCATATTTTAGTTAAAAAGATAAACTGAAGTTGTTATTGTTTATTTATTGAAAATTTGCCCTAAAACTAAATTCACGATTGAAAACCTGTCATCCAAATTATTGTGCACCTTTCCCTTTCTAAGCTATACTTTAGGTATTTATGTTTGCATTACTTACACCGCAAGAGGGTGCAATTGTACAAGCTGCCATGAAAAACACTCATTTACAAATAGAGCAGATTTGAGTTGTAAGGGAAAAATGTCTTTTTCGTTTCTATAAGTTTGAACTTTATTGTTGAAAATATCATGTTTCCATAACGACGCTCCATTGGTGTGTTTATAATTTTAATTCTTTCACAGCGCATATGTATACATTTCAAAGATTTGCAGTTTAAGACAGAACATGAAAATGTCTACTAAGGCCACTGGTAGGACACACACCATTACTTTTCAGCCAGTCACCCTATTATTGCACCTATGTTTTGAATTTAGCTAATGAGTATGTTCTGAAAGGGCTTCCAGTTTTGAAGATTTCTAGAGATCAAGATGCCATCATTCCTTTGATAATATGCTCTGCTCATCAATGATCCTCATATTCGGTTTCATCTTGCAGCCGTTGCAAGATGGATTCATCACATTGTGATGAATTTCATTATGTTTTCTGGGGACACCTTTTATATGTAACACCAGCCAGGAAGAGACTAACAAGTTACTACCGGCCCAAAAGAGCTCCCTGTCCCTGTGTAAGGCATGTAAGGGCTGGAAAAAGACTTAAGATAGCATAGCTCTGGAGGGAGAATAGGCATTTCATTGCAAACTCGTTGACAGAGAAAACCAGAGCATGTTATCTTTTGTGTAAACACTTAAATGCTGGCAAGCATTTGGATTCTGTAATCAAGTAATCTCAATCTATTTGATAAACAGATTTGAGCTGAGTTTCTCATCTTAAGGCATTTTCTCCAGCTCTTCAATAATATTTTCATTTTTTCCTGTTCACTTCCCTAACTGTGTAGACTAGACCTAGTACCCACAATATTCCATAGATCAGCTATCTCCTTACACTTACCTAATCACTGAAGTATTGTATCAACCCTTTAAAAAACAGTTGTAAACTGTCAGTTCACGTTCAGTTGCAAGAGTACTTCAAGTTCTTTTTTTTTTGTAGACACTGAACCCCTGAACGCAGCCTCCCATTCTGTAGGTATGGGCTGTGTTCCTGGCTTCTAGATGTGCAACTAACAATTTGTCTCGATGGACCCAGCACATCACAGATTGGTAAGACTGCTGTGTCCTGTCATTACATTTCTACCACTCTGTTGCCTACAAGTTCAATCAGCACTATTTTAACTTCAGATCACCAGTACAGTGTAAAGCCTTTGCTAATTGTTACAGAAGGTTACTAAAAAGTATTCCTATTCAGAGTTCCTCATTTCCACATTTTTTGACATCCTTCAGTGCTGAACAAGGGTTTTGCCCAAGAAAAGTTTTTTATCTGTTTGGTACATCATGCAAAGATCAGAGCCAGGACAGCATCCCGCATAGCTCTAAGTGGAGTTACAAGGAGGCATGGCAACAGTAGATATTTACCCTGCAAGTTCCACCGTCCAACTGCCTAATGACCAGAGATTTTATAAGAGAAAACCTTCCTGCAGTGCCTCCTTGTTTTGCTCTAGAGGTGGAGGATCTCGTGCATATATGCCTACCTCTATCTGAGGTCTGAAACTACAGACTTTTGGGGGCTTCCTACCTTTTAGTGGAAGGTCACATAGCTAATTCTTAAGGCATGACTTACCTTACCTTAGCATATTGGATACTCTCCAATATGGAACAGAGCGTGCTACTAAATCACACACTATGCAAAAGCCTTGTCTTCACAGGTACCAGTCAACCAAACTTGTATTCTACTGAAATAATGAAATCAGCTTTTTAAAAAGATCTATTTTGTATAAAGTCTTTAATACTGATTAAGGAAACTCATATTAAAGTTTCCATTATGTTAATGCGAATGTATCTAATGCAAACAGGGCAGCAGTCTTCTTAGCTAGCTCTGTGGGACACCCTGAGACTGGTTTTCTTCATCTGGAAATGTGTATTCTCTCTCTGAACGCTTAAAACCCATTTTGGAAGTTAATAAATGAGAAAGTAATTGTTACCCTTGTTATATAAGTACATTATTCTGCCTCCTTCTATATACGTGACATCTTTTTTTCAAATTGCCCCTATGATTTTCACATTATTAACAATTCTACAATGTTCACCTAATAGTGAGCTCACACAATTGCAGCCATTTTCTTTGCTCCCCATATTCTAAAACTATTTTTATTGTCCTTGACATTACTATTTATAATTCTTTCTTTGGTATATTGTCCATTTTATACCCTTCAAAAACTTCTGGATTATATTAATTGCCATCAATTTTTTACCTTTTTCCACATTTGTTATATGCTGCTTTATTTTCTTTTATTAGCTACTTTCATTTTGCCATGGAACGCAAACGGGATTTTAGTCAAAGCCATCTTCTTTTTTGATGATAGGATCATGGCTTTTTGCTCATATAATAAAATTATTCTTAGAGAATTCAGCTTTTTCATTTGTATTTTTGAGTTCAAATTTTCAGCCTCAGTCAGGTTCCCTCACCAATGTGAATCAAGCTTTTGAAATATTGCAGGTATGTGCATACAAAATCACTATTATACACAAATATGCTCACATACATACAGTAGAAGTTATTCATTTATCATAACTTAGAAAACTACTATCTTCCAGTCCAGCAATAAATTACAGGGTACAAAAACGCATTATCTTATGCTCTTTTAAAAACTTTTGATAGAAAAATCTCACAGATGAAACAGAATACATTTCAGAAACGAAATTTTCAAACACACCATCTCTGTCTTCACATGATATGAAGGAGTGTTTAAGGAGTTACTCATCCTCTTTTCTAATTTGTCATTTGTAATAGATCCTCACCAAGGGAGTTTTGCTAGCAAAAATTCAGGATTACAAGATTCTTAATGTACGGTTATCAATAACTTTAAAAACAAACTGTTCTTTGACATTGAATACTACTCCTCTCAATTTTTTGGAAAATTTTTTAGTTACTTCAACTTTTCTAAAAAGGTATGTTAGTCAAAGATATCAACATTCCAGCTACGCATGTGGTTCTACCAGATTTCAGTAATGCCCCTTACAACGCATTTCTTGATAGAAGTATAATATATGAGCATTTCCCACTCCCCTTGCTTGTTAACTCCTAGAATTAGTATATGGTCATTACAATTTTTCTTTCCTCCACATCCTCTGCCATTTCAAACTAATGTAATTTGTTCACAACACAGGAGGTTGGAATTTACCTTCTTAGCTTACATTATTAGTAAGTATACCTATGTGATATGGTTAAGGGGCATACAGTCCAAAATCTGGATCCAAATCCTTGATTAAGCCCTAAAGAATTCTGCATTACAAGTGCTAAGAATCTCCAACTACTCGAATGTGTACCAGTAAAAGCCGCAAGACAGTTAAAGCACTGCTGTGGAACTATTTGAACCTTGCCAACAATGAAAGGCTTAGAACCTAAATTCCAGTGGAAGTTAAAAATACTTCTTTACTATATGCTTTCTGATCCAGTTAGGTCCTCTCAAAGTATAAAGCAAAGCAGCATCACTGGGTCTTACCCAAATGAAGCAAAAGAGAATAAGCCACATCAGTGCTGAGTGCTGTAGCTATGGACTGTTACAAGAACGAGTAACTATCACTTTCATCTATACTCCAGAACAGACTGGCTTAAATACCTAATTCTGGAAGAGGTTGCATAGCTATGAATTCCAGTCAAAATGAGACACTGGTTTCCTGAGAGAATACATCTTAGATGTCACCTTTCTTCTTTACAGGTCATACTGTCTACCCTAGGTGGCTGCCATCACAGTTAGTTGGCTTTTTCAGATCTTATTAGTACTATCTATCTCCATGATGTGTAGCGAGCTTAGGAACAACGTAGGAGAGAAAAGACGATCCAGTGTTAGACACAGCAAGAGCCTTTTTAGTACCTAAGACTGCTTTATACCAGCCTAAAACATACATGAAGTTTTCAAAAAGTATTACAACTTTCTCACATTTCAGTGAACTGGAAACGAATACAGTTAATTCCGTTAGAAAAAGATAGGTTTATGTTGTAGAGGAGATAAGAATTATTTGTACATATGTGACTGAACTCTGTGTTTCCCATTTGAAAGTTAGAGACTGAATACATAAAACTGAATAGGTAACCCATTACAACTAGCTATGTATGTCTTTATTTGGATGGGGGAAAAGACTTATAACTGAAAAGAGCTTTTTGTGTCTACTGGTTGTACCTAAGGAATTATCATATGTCATAAACTCCTATTGCAGGAGTTTAAGAAATCCAACATGAAAGACTTTAGTCTTCATTTGGATACCTGAATGGCTGATTTAAATGATATTAACACAATTCTGAAGAAAAAATGAAGAGATGTATTTTAGAAGAAGTTATTTAGAGACAATAGGAACAAAGATACATGGGAATAAGTAATGTAAGTACTTCTGTAAGTAGTAGGAGAACAAAGGTGGACTTTTCTATAACTGAGAAGTTCATGTATGGAATAAAAATAGCACTGAGAGCAGCATTTTATCAAAGGGGGTTAAAAAAAGAGAAAGTAGATTAAAAAAACACTGTAACTACCAACTCTTGGCCAGACTATCACTTGATGTAAATTGGTGTGACATCAATAGAGTAATATAATTTATTTTAGCCAAAATATTTACCTATTAATTGCAAGGGAAATCCCAAATAACTTTCTTTTCAGTCAAATGTTTCCTATAAATATATAATGAGACTAAAATACACTTTGTTGAATGTCTTCAAAGATCACATTTGGATAACGAGTTCAGGACCTTTTTAGAAACATACCATTTTATCCTTTCCTCTTTCTTGATATTCATTCAATTTTCTTTCCAAATCTTCAATTCTGGACTGTTCCTCATGCAGCTTGCTGCGTAAAAGCCTCAAAAATTCTGCTGATGAAGATTCTGTGTCTTCTTCATTTATGCTGTAATACTTCTAGTACAGGAAAAAAATTCTTCAATGAGATGCCAGCATAAATCAGGCAACCCTTCTTCTCAAGCTACAGAATACTTTTGTAATTCAAAGACATCACTGATATGTATTTTACATTCCAGAGTTCTGCTCTAGTAGTAAATACAAAATTTGAACATATCTGACTACAGTTCAAATATTTAGGCCAGGAGTCTATTATATCTAATACATAATCTATAATACTAGAGAATTCAAACAGATAGCAAAGGAAAAGAGAAAATTTGGAGGCATTGTATATCTTAGATATTTTAAAGCATTTGAAGAATTTATTTAAAACATATTTAAGAATAAATAAAATGAGGGGGAAATACATCATACGAACAGAATAGCAAGATAAACTATTTAAAAGTTAACTTTTGCATTACTGACATTTATTTTTGCATCTTCTTGGTTGCGCTAGTAAAGTTTTTAAATTGCATTGGAGACTTCTAAAAAGTGTGTCTACAATGGATTATGTATTTCCTGTGACATCAGAAGACAAAGATAAGCACCTTCAAAGAAAAAGAACATGTGCAGTCTCCCATTGAATATACAAAGATGTCTCTTCAAGACCGTATATTGTCAGCAGCTAGCCATTAGGAAACACTAAGCTTAAAATTGCGTGCAAAGTCTTCCTTCGGGAGTACCTAGGCATCTAATTCAATGTATTTTTCAAAGTTAGGTGATAATATAATCCTGCTCAATTTTCTAAAACCACTAATGCTAGCTGTAATGGCTCTCTCTTGTGCAATATACTGATGTTTGTAGCACTGTTCCAGGAATAGAGAGCTGAGGCGCAAGTCTTTCTTCAGCTACAGTGGATTCAAACTCAGTTCTCCTTATTCGTTAGAGCACCCAACCTACAAAGCCACACACATGGCTGGGATGGGGCCAGGCTCTACCTCTGTTGCTGAAGATGGATCATTGTGCAGAAGAATCCAAGCTCAAAAGAAAATTTTCCAAAGGGAAAGCAAACCAGAGGGAACCTGACCCTGCAGCTCCCTGGTGGAAACACTGCTGCTACCCACTTCATGGTATCTATACACATTTTTTACTATAGAGCGATTATATGAACCAGATTGGGGAAACAGAACTTTTGACACACACAGTTAAACTTGCATTATTGCAGGTGGTCTGTGTAGCAGCTACTTGATCAAATGTAGACATTTACATTTTAGCTAGTCACACTTTGCTTTTTAATAGTCTGTGGAGATATAATTCATAAAGTCAGAGGTATCTAGAGCACAACTCAATTTACCCTTAAATAGGCATCTAAAATTGATTAGATAAATTGTGCCCTAAAAAATACTTATTTCTCTCCACTGACTATCAAGGAAGCAAGGCCAGCTCAGCTACATCATAAACATATCTACATTATTGATCAAATGTTACAGCAGACAAATGTCACTCTCTCCATTTTTCTCAGAAGTGATTAGTTCCCCGAAAGAGTCACTATAGGATTTTGAAAGGGAACATAGTTTTTCTTAAATAGTCCATACAGTGTAGTGCTCTTCTAAACCAACTCTGATTGAAATTGCTATCTTGAAGTCATTGCCAGCAAGATTTCACAATTCTCATGGAAATTACTATTTTATACTTGAGTTTGCAGCAGAATTCCTTTCTTCAAGTGATAGTGCTACATGTCATTTAGGAATAAAAAAGAACAAAAGCAAAAAATAAACATCTTCTCTCTGCAAAATGTTAACAAATCTTGTCATTTCTTTTTTCACAGAACCTGTCCTTTCCTTCACTGCTAAAGCCTAGTTTTTGCCTCTTAGGTCCCCAGTTCTACCCTTCCTCCACTTTAAACTATGCAACATTGGTGAAATGCGTATTATCTGTCACTTGCTCAGGATTTGCAGTGTTCTGATCGCCTTTCATATCTTACTCAAACTCCTCACTCTCATGATTCCTCACATCTTTTTTTTCTGTGAACCTTTCTTCTCTGCTTCACATTATTCTGTTCTCTGAAACATCCATATGATAAATGATGATTTGACTCACACAACTATACCTGTTTTCCTGTCCCTTCGCACGTCTACATGTTTCATTCTCTAATAGCATATACTTTTTTCTTTTCCCTTCCAGGCTGCTTTTCATTTAATGTATTTGATTTTCTGTATGTTGTATAATACACTAGATGCTGCTAATATATGGTGTACACTTCCCACTATGCACGTAGACTTGACTATGCTATGTATAAACAATAGAAGAACACTTATAGGTAAATATCGCCACCTTTAATTATCCATATAAGTCAGCTTTAATTATCTATATAAGTGTTTTTTTTAATATTAACTTAGTTTTGTAGAGAAGTCCAAATCTGCATGTTCCACTTGTATGCAGAAGAGGAAAGATAAAATTTACACTCCACGCTTTCTCATTTGGATTATTTTTACTACTAAAGTTACATCCTGTAACCTGTTGATATGAAAGTCTGTGGCACGGTCCCTAGAGGGCAGTATAAAGTCACTTACAGCAGACATGATTGGTCATCATTCTCTATTCGGTAGCCTGAGAATTCACTTATAAAGAATATCAAGACATTTTCATTTTTTTAGTTGAATCAAACAATATTTTTGTGGTTACCATGCTTCTGCTTCCTAGGAGACCCAATCACAGACTGTGGCCAGTTTTCATAGCAACATAATTACTACAGAAGTGGAGGATTACTCATTTGTTATTAGAGTAGACTATATTCTTATATAAAGACAACTTCAGTCAGCTTTTATAGTTGTTTATCTTTACAGTGAATTATAGCAAGTTTGCCTTCCTAGTAGCCAGTAGTCCCAGAAGATCCCTTCACTTGCTCAGACTTCTTCCCGCAACCTTCAGTAACAGGCAAAAATAAGTGTTAAATGTGTAGCTGGGTCTAATGCTATATTGCTTGATAATTTTGTGGTAAATTATTTTTCAGTAGTCAGGAAATGCAAAATTGAGCCATTTTTGCCTTCTTCCAGTGATACCTGCTAAGACACTCATTCATGCTATAATAACCATGATGTTGCTCATTTAAGACTATGCTTAGGTATGCCAAACTGCATACTTCAACATTAGAGGGAAAAAACTGGTGCTTGTAAGAAAATTATATTTTTGTGATGTTTTCCTTCTACTAAAAATGGTTTGAATGCTTAGTCGTCATGAAAAATTCAAATACATCTTTCTCCAGATTTTAAAGTGAAAAGCCGATCTCTGTAATTTGTTCATAATATACTATCTTATTACGCAGATTGGCAGTCTACTACCACATTATTAGTTAGAACCCACCTCAATATTTGATCTGAGAACAGCCAGCGCATCACATAATTGTTGTTGGTAGCTCTGTCGAATTTGGGCTTCTTTCTGCAATTAATTTGTAACAAATTACTGAGAATTTTGATGTGCAACAAAGGGACAGAAGCAATGACAAAAAAAATTGTTTCTTCTTTTTCATTAAGGACAAAATGTTATCCAGACTCCTAAATTTGAAAAGAATTACTCAGCTATTATTCCTCTTCCTGTCACTTTTTCCCCTGACAACATTCTTCAATCTCTTTTCAGAATTTAGCCAAATAATCAAACTGTATCTCTTCTCTACAAGAAGTGGATTCCAAACTGCTTTAAATACAAGCACTTATTTAGCAAGGGCTATCTCAGATGTCTAAAACAGGAATTCTTGTACCACTTTGTAAAACTTTTGTTTTCTTATATGATCACCTCAGAAGCTTGAAACTGAATTTGACTCTTTACTTATGTGTTCCTCCTTCCTAGTAACTGCTCACTGCATAGTTGCAACGAGATTGCCTAGGAGCATTCATGCCAGTGCATGTTTTGAGTTATTATCTTAAGATCATTGCATATATATTTTCAAAGAAATACATGGAAAAAGAGCTGTAAATATTTTATAAACATGTAAGAATGTGCTAAATTTCTTGCCTATTAAAATATTACAAAATATTTTATTAGAAATAATCACGCTACAATTTCAGACGTTTTCCTAAACAGATTGTTAATATGCAGAGTACAATATGACCCATATTTTATTAATTGCAGCAGACACTTCAGAGAGTCACTTACATCTGCATTAGCACTTTTCTTTATCTCCTATTACAAATACTTCTGTGGACTACTTCTCATCATGTACAATATTATATCAATCTGCACAAGGAGGCTATATGAAGGAGAACTGGTATCTAGTGAAGATAAACATATCAGTGAGAAAGAATTTTTTTTTTACCCGTTTATGAAAAAACTCAATGTCTCTCAGTCTGTCATTTATATATTTACAGAGATTTGAAGTCTGCTCTTCAATTTTTTCTTCATACTGTGCTTGAACAACTGTTTTGAAGGTAAGCCAATCTTGCTGGAGGGAGTGGATGAGCTAAAAAAAATCAAAATCCTGCTATTATTTATATACTAGAGAATATTTTGTATACAAAATAAGTTAGCCAAAAGTAAAGTACAACTGCATCCATTAATCTTTTCAAGACACTGATTACTAGAATCAATTGCCTAAACACAAACATCTAATGTATTTCTATGCCCTATGGTACCCTCTTTGGTCTACAGCTGTCACATGGGAAGGAAAACGTCTCTACAGCTGTCAGAGCTGTAGAGCTGTCCTAGCTCCACATCCATGCTTTGGACACTTCAGGGTGTCAGTATGAGATTCAATTTGCAGAATATGACACCTAAATTTAGGGATCTACATCCGAACTGGGTAGATAAGTTTCTGTTACAGTCAATGAAGTCAGTGGGACTTGATTCAATTGCTCATACATATGTGGTGTAGTGCCATAAGATACGACGAATGAAAGACATCTTATGCAGAGCTGGCAGATATGACAGAGGACCTAAAGAAAACCTGTGCCTTTCTGAAATAGGAGATAGCTGCCAGATAGGGTATCTTGGGACATCTCAAATTGCACTCAGTGCTTATCTGTAGGGCAACTGAATCTAGAGAGATTCTTCTCATATCCATATTTGATTGGCTGAATCAGTTCTTCATATTCCACTGACAACAAAGACAAATTTACACTGAGTATAAGGGAAGTCTGGATGCCCTGCTCAGATAAAGACACCTGTATGAGACACTGAAGAGTAGGTGTCTTAATCCATGACCTGATTCTCAGCCCAGATAACAAATTTGACTGTTAAACAAAGTATTGGGCAGCCTTCTATAATGAAGGTGAGAAATATTGTATCAGAATGTTCTCTAATAAAATTAGAAGGTAATCATATGAAGAAAACTGTAATTGCTTTTGTAAAACAAAACATAAATTATAAAAATGTGCCAAAACATATATATAAAGTAGTCTCAGAGGTATCAACGACATCTTTGTAATACTTGTAAGCATCACTCCATTATATTACTCCTGTGAATGATAAAAATTAAAACTGAAATTAAGTAAACTGTAACTCATGAAATGGAAGACCTGAATACATAATATTAAACACCATTTCCAAAGTCCCAGTACAGTGTAAGGAAACATAATGAGAACTGACTCTTGATTTAAAGATACTTTGTATCCAAACGTACACACGTTCCCAGTCAAATAAAAAACAAACCGCTCCCCAAAACCTCCAACACTGGATATTTTAAAGATATTTGGGTTCAGTGTTTGTCAGTCAGAAAATATTTATACATTAAAGATACTTAGTTTTCTCAAAAAATCCCTTATTTTAGGAACACTGAAGAATCTGCCAGATGGTACCTAGTTACATTCTGCAAGAGATGCATACATACATATCAATACAGATATCAAAATGAAAGTCCAGAAAGTGGTCAAAACTTGTTTATAAACTCTAATTCAATACTCTCTAAAACATCTTATGCTAAAAAGAAATAAGATATCTGCATTTTTGCAGGAAGTGACACAGGAAGCGCAAGAGAAAATGTATTTTACATTCATTGGCTTAGAAGAGTAACCTGCTTTGTTTGAAATCTTTCAGGGATGTGAGGCAGAATGAGATTTTGCTTTTAAAAGTAGTACCAAAGTATTTGAGTTTAGTTTTATCTACATATATACCATTTGAGATTTAAAAAGAAATAGCTATACTAGAAAATTAATTTTTTTGTGTGAATTTAAGTCCTGAAGCACCTTCCTTAGTAACTTCTTACTCAGTGAAGAACTAGAATTACACAGAAACATGTAATTTTGGTGGATTAGATCTCCCTCTGCAGGTCTCTAGAGGCACCCACCTTCCAATAGACTGGATTGTTCCTCATTCCAAACTGTGACCTCCCTCCCCAGTCTAAGCACTACATTTCAGGGAGTCCAAGTTTAAGTTACACATATAATTGTGCTAAAGTAGATTACACCATCAGGTCTTCTTTCTAATTTGCTTTTGAATATGATGTTTTCAAAATAGAAGCACCATACTACTAGCTAGATTCACAACTGATATTACGCAAGGTAACAGTGGAACTGAGAGGCCTACATATATTTCCAAAATCCTGGCCACTATTTGACAGGTTCAAGTCCTTAGAATTTTCATGTACATTTACGTTTTCTGTACATTAAACAATTTTAATTCCTACGTAGTGTTCTCTGACTCAGGCAGCCAGGTAATCCAGTCTCTAATTCTTCTATCAATAGTTGTTTATTACTCTGCTTTGAAAACATAAATTTATATAATTTAGCTGAAACAGCTAGAATGAAGACGGAAGAAGAGCTAAAACAGATTCCCTAAGAATTTCACAGAACAGAGATGACATTGACAAAACCACATGTTCTATAGCACAATGAAGACCTTCTTATGACACTTTTCTAATTTACCTGCATTAAAGCTTGTGTAGTAATCGTTAGCTCCTTTAGTTCTGGTATTTCTTTGATATCTGTTTGAGTAGCATGATCTGTGCTGTAATATCCTATCTTTAAGTCATCTGATATGCAAGGCCTGCAAAAACAGATTTGAAAAATGCTTGAAATATTATAGTAATTGCATTAATCATTTAAGTTCATCTTTTATTAATAATGGAAATTCAGAGGTAAAGTTATTATTTCACTTGTACGATTTCTTTTTTAGATAGAGGGGAGTCTAAGACTAGAATGAACACATTTAGAGTTTGTTTTTCTTGGACTATATTTGTCTCCTGAAGGTAACTGTTTTTAGTCAAGTATTGAATAAAAATTAAAACTTCACACAACACTGGCCGTATGCTAAAGAACATAAACGAGAATGTAAGGAAAATGTGTTTTGTCAGTAAATAGATTCTTTATAATGTTTTGGATAATCCAGTCCAGAAATCCTGGATTTTGGACTGGGTTAGGAGCTAGATTTTCTATTCCACTGATAAATTTGATATTTTTATAGTATTATCATACTCTAAAATACACTTGTGATTGTTACATTGTAATAAACTTGGATACATATATTTCTGAGTTTTAGAACATTAGAATGTCAAAAATAGTGTTTCGACACTGTTAAAATTCCTTTCTGTTAGAAATGAACATTCTTGCACTGGTATACTTGTCTACTGGACAAACTGGTTAAAATAATAGCGTTTGATCACAGGTGTTCTGAAAATCTCTTTATTTTGTGAACAGATACACTCCATGTATTACTACGTATCAATGTATTAACGACCTTCAATTTGTATTATCATTTCACAGTTTGCATTAAAGGAGAGGAAACGTGAATCTGTCATTGAAGCAGCTGCAATCCCAGCTGTAAGAAGGTTGCACTGTAAACTGTGCAATGCAGCCAAAACACCTGAATTAGCTAGGGCTAGGTTAACTTTAATTCAGTGCGCAAGTAGATTACTTTCAATCAAAGCTCTAAGTAGATTCTTTCAAAATAGGAAAGAGAAACGTATAGTAAATTACACTCTGATCCTGAGTCCATGGAAGAGCAGCAAAAGTACAGAGAATATTATTATACAGGTTAAACAGGTATTTAGCTGAAAGCTCAGAGTGTAATCGCTCAAGGAAAGTTGCGGAAAGCAAAGCTGAGGACACGGCCGGTGCCAGGGTTCAGGCAAAGTTGTGCTAGCAACGACTCGAGTCGCTAGCGGGCAACAGAAAAAACGCCCTCCGACCGCGTCACTGTCGAAATAGCGGAGATCTTCACGGAAGGCTCCTTTACACACAGAAACCAAGGGTCGGGCGGCAACTCGCCATCGCCGAGGGCGGCTGCGGCGCAGCCG